AATAATGGTGGTATGTATCTTCATATAAAAACAAAATAAAAATAAAAAAAAAAACCCTTAATTTGGCACTTCTAAGTATGAGCATAATTTAGAGATGGAAAAAGTTAATTATTACCTCAACCCACTAGAAGGGATCCTTAATTTTCGTGGGATTGGATGTGAAAATGCAAAAAATTATGAGGAAAAGGGGTATGGTTGCTGCTGTTGTGAGATTGGAGTGGACTTAGGGAGAGTAAAAAAAAAAAGTAGCTGCCATAGATTATGGACTCGATCGCCATGAAAGACACATGTAGAAAGGCACGCATTTATTTAAATAGTAAGAGAACCATAATATATTCATTCAGCTTTTGATAGCCATCACACACAGTGACACACACACACACACACAAAACCCTAGCTACTTTTCACTATTGGAACAAAGGTAAAGGCCCGAATCAAACGAACCAAAGTTAGAACAAATCAAATGATGAGATGAACGAACGAAAGAAAGAAACATATATAAAAGATGGATTCATGCAAAAGGAGAGAGAAGAGAGAGAGAGAGGGGATGAACATACCTTGTCACCTGAGGAGATAGCCCTGCGGAGTGTCGATGCAGATTGTGTCCTCTGAAACTTGCCCTAACTTTTTTTTATTTTTTTATTTTTCCATCCCCTATGGGCCTTGAGGCCCTCTAAAATCTGAGGCCCAAGACGGTCGCCTTGGGCCAGGGCCGGCCCTGGGAAAGGCCCATTGAAACTTGGGGAACACAATGATGGACCCACCTTTTGGGCTTAAGCCTTGTACACATGGTGATGTTTTGGATAGATTGAAATATTTGGTGAAGTGAGGAAATCAACAAATACAAAATTTCAAGAGATATTTTCATGCCTTATTTATTTATTTTTTTTATTTTCAAACGGAATATATATATTTTTTTTATACAGAACAAATAAATATTATTCAAAGTGTTTTTAAATTTGAAGAGTCATATTATGATATTTACATTTTAAATTTTAGAATAGTTTCTAAATTTATCATCCTCAGCATAGCTTTGCTTTAGGCTTCACTTTTTTCCTCGTGTAGTGAACTTCATTCTTTTAATGAATGGAATGATAAAATTACTTTATAGTCGGTTCGATTTGTAACTAAGTTGGCCTTGAGGCCGAACGATACACAGCCTAGCAAATATTTTTGGTGCTGCTGTCACGTGGACTGTAGTCTTAACATTATTTGACTTTAACAGTTGTGTAGAACAAAAATATGCTTCTCGTTGGTCCTTATAACTTTGACCCTAAACAGAGGCTCGACTACTTAGTAAGAACCATTTTTGTAATTTATTTATTATTTATTATTTTTATTTTTATTATTTTTTATTTTTTATTGTGTGGGAGTGAGAGACCTTACAATGATTCAAAGAAAAGTTAACTCTTTCGCGTTTAACAATTACAATAGGTGAAGATTGGTTATCAGACCTGATCGCTTTACATGGCTTTGGTCCTAAGTACAGTCTACCCTTAACCCAAGCAATAAATGCTATCCTGAATCTGGAATGAAAATTGTGCTGGAATAAATGCTTTTGTCAGAACTGAAAGCATCAAAGTGCAAGTCTCGCCAAAGGCAACATCTTTTGTAGAAGAGAGAGAGAGAGTGCAAGTTTTTTCAAAGCCAACATCTTTTGTAGAACAGAGAGAGACAACATCTTTTGTGAAACAGAGAGAGAAACACACAACAATATGAAATGTCAGGTGTATTAGGGTAGGATCTTTTCTCAAAAATAAATGAGTTTTATTTATAGCTGAGGCCAAGAAATATTAATCATTGGATTAGATATTGTATGAACGACTAGGATGATCTATAGTTGCAAGCTATCATGAGCACGTGTAGAGAGGAAAGTTGAGCTTTGATGGAACATTTTGATTGCCGTATTTAATGCAAAGTATAAAATACTATCTACGACTTGATAATCTGTCACCGGCTCTATTGCCCCTTTATTCTAGGCATTCGAGTACTTTGCTAACCGAACATTTCACTTCCCTTACTTCGGCAAGCTTGAGTGCTTTAACAGACAAAATCAATGGTTCACAGGCATGACCTTTCTTCGGCCATGAGTTCAATTCTTATATTTTCAACTCAGGGACTCAGCTCCTCTAAGAGGCTCCTTCCATATTGTGAGTATGCATGTTTGGGGTGATATTGTGAGTATATATACATTTGTTTTGCCTTTCTAAATAATAAATAAATATCCTTTTTGAAGGGCAATTATGTTTTTTTTTTTTTTTCTTAAAATAAAATAAAATAGCTAAAGTAGAGAATTTTGGTTCTTGACTTTGTCTCTATTAAAAATAATGGATGGAACTCAAACACCACATTAAATACTGTAGCATCAATTGAGTGCATGGTTTTGTACTGAGTAGTGGTTACATATGGATAAAGAGGGCACCTGTGTGTGACTCTGTGTACACACACACACACACACACACACACACACACACACACATATAGAGAGAGAGAGAGAGAGAGATGGGCAAGCAACTAACCTGCAAAAAGGAAGAGCATGCATATGCTTTTATTCTAATTTGTACAAGTTGCCCTACTCACCATTCATCCAATTCTCCATCAAATGGATGATCCATCATTTATGTTCAAGAAACCAACAACATTTTGCATTATTAGGAATTCTGGCATCAAATTTCACCACTTGGATGTGATAAGGTATTAGGTACCTTTTGTATGGATTGAAAAATGAAATCAACACTGACTTTTTTATTTTTATTTTTATTTTTATTTTTTGGGCAATTTAAGGGAGAGGGAACTCGAAAGTGTTAGCCGCAGATAATAATGTCCGAGGAATAATAATTTAGTTATGTGGAACAATGTGGCAAGGACAATTTTCAAAAATCTTTTAACTTTGTCAACCACCCTTAAATTCACAATAAAATAAAAAAACTAATTTTTTATAGAATAAAATTGAATATTCTTATGTGAGCTTTCCTCAATTGTTGAAGGCATGAGATCGCTTGTAGCCTTTTCCTCTAGTTTAATGTTGTTTAAGAAAGTTAAAGATTAAATAGTGAAAATTTTAAGGGTAAATTTTTTTATTGTAGTAATTAAAAATTAAGATTTTTTTGATATATATTTTTCAAAATCTTAAAAGTGTTCAATATTCAATAATACTCGTAAGTGAAATCTCTTGTCAATTGAAATGTTCTTCATGATATTAGACTTGTTAACGGATCGTATTCGGATCGGATCTGACCTGATCCGATAAGTCTTTTATTTGATTCGATAATTCAACAAATTGTTTGTAAGTAAATCCATATCCAATTTGTTAATAAACAGATATGTGATCTAATAATCTGATTCGATATATGTGTAGTCTTTTTTTGTTAAAAAAAAATGAAATTAATGTCAAAAAAGAATAAAAAAAACAATGAATATCGAAAAAAAAAAAAAAGGATATAAAAACAAAAGATAAATAAAATATGAAAGGAAAAGAAATAAAAAAAATATAGACCATTTACACTTTGTAAATGAATAAATATTATGACATTATTAGTATGTATGGTATTGATATATATATAATATAAAATATTATGATATATATATAATTTTATTCGGATCAGATTATTATTGAATCGGATCAGCATAATCAATATCCGATTTATTAAACTAACGGGTTATCGAATTTGAATCGTAATCCAATTATTAATTTTTTTGTTCAATTCATATTCGACTAATCAGATTCGGATCAGAATTCAATTCATTGACATGTCTTCGTGATATTTCGTGCTTAATTGAATAAACATTTAATTCGATTTATCAAACAACACAAGAAAACAAAAATATTGCATTAATTGTCTTTAATCCGACAATATTTACCTACTGAGTTGGAAGTTTTTACTCACCATAAAAAAAAATAAAAAATTTGAGAGACTATCAATAAGATCCGAAGAAAATATTAATCTAACTCTATTTACCACCCTACTCTATTGGTAGACGAAATCTAATATGATTTTTTTTTTTTTTTTTTCAGTAAACTTAAAAGAGAGATTAATGTACATTAACGAAACCTTAAAAAGACTAATGAAAAAAAAAAAAAAAAAATCGAAACACTTGCATGGAGAGAGGTTAAGAAAACTAGACACATAATGACTTTCCCAAATAAAAAACAATATATTATTTTAGACAGAAGGCGTGTAGAACCAAAAGTCAACTTTGGTTGCTAGACAAAATCATAGTAAATTAACTTCTACGTTACAGTTATGAAATCGGAAACAATCACTTCCAGTTTGACTCTGGAAGTATTGTTTAAACTAACCTAGACTAAAATAAAAAAATTTAAATTTGTAAAAAATAAAAATAAAAAATAGCAAAATCTTTCTTAGGCCAAAAATTCAAATACTGTATTATGTTTGGAACACTGAATCAACAGTTTTAATTTATTTAATTTTGATTTTAAAACTTCAATTTAGTGGAACAAAGCATAAAAATAAAACATGATTCTAACCTTAATTTTACAAATAAATAATTATTACTTATTAAATGATATAACTGTTCTTTCAGATTCTTATCCTTATTTCTAATATTTAATATTTTAAGTCTCTTTTGAAAAGATAAAAAACAGAAAAAATATTAAATGATTAAAAAAAATTAAAAATATATAAAAAAAGTACTTATGACATTATAAAATAAGAAATAATGCATTAATTAATTTAAGAACTTTTTTATTATTTTCTTTTAAAAAAAAATTAAAAATGTATTAAAAGAATAGTTATGACATTATAAAATAAAAAATAGTACATTAATTAATTAGAAAACCTTTTTATTATTTTCTTTAAAAATAAAAAATAAATATAATATATTTAAATAAAAGTGGAGTTAAAAAATCACCTCTCAATATAAATAAATTCGGTTTTAAACAACCCAAACAGAACCCATTTATAAGTCCAACAATGTTTTCGTCACAGTTTTGTCCATTTGCTCGTAACGTAACCAAATTAACAAACAATACAATAATACAAAACAAGGCTTCGTTGAGTGGTTTTTAGAGAGAGAGAAGAGAGAGAGAGAAAGAGTGTGGGCGATGGAAGCGAAGCACAACAGTGTCCGTCGCTCTCTCTCTGTCTCAGTCGAATCGCTCCTTTTATTCCATTCTCTCTTCTCCTTCAAGTTTCTTCTCTCACCCCTTCATAAATTCCAACACTAATACTTTCTCTCTCTACGTATACATACATACATACATACATACCATATATATATATATTTGTGTATGTATCGACATTTTGATCTGACAATTTTTTTCGTTACTCAATCCATTTCCTGAACAGTGCAATGCTCGGATTAGAGCTCTGTTTCAAGGATTTGTTTGATTCTGACTCAGATGAGCTTCGATTCGACAACTCTTTGAATTCGAGTTGCTTCGTGAAGGGAGGGTTGTTTCTCGAATCAGATGTTCCATCTTCGTTTGTTTCGTTTCTTCTGACGAACAACTCTTCTTCGGGTAGTGTTTCGAGGTCTTTCTCGTGTTCCCGGAGGGCTCGCCGGAGGGCGATCGGTTTGGAGGGATTCCGGCGAGGGAGGGGAGGCGGCGGCGGGTTTTTGTCGGTGAGCTTGTCGATTAAGGGGAGTGGGGATGGGGAAGGGCTTGTTCGGGAATCGAGTGAAATTTTGGGGCAAAATGGAGATAAAAGTGGGGAGGAAGAGACCGTTGTGTTTGAAGAAGAGAAGAAACAACGGAAAGCTGGGTTGCAGGGAGGAAGAGCTGCCTTCAACACCACCAAGCATCTCTGGGCTGGAGCTGTAGCTGCTATGGTTTCAAGGTGTTCTTCTTTCTCTATCTCTCTCTATATAATGTATATATTATATATATTTCCTCTTAGTGCTATATGTTTGCCATTTAATTGTGGATTCACAGTTGTTGTTGGACTATACTGATCTATCAAAAAAAATAAAAAAAATAAAAAGAGTCAATGGACTACATCTGGTTTTCTCTTGGACCGTGCTTCTTTTCTTAGCTTGTGTTAATTACGACATTCGAGTTCTCTACGTATGGTTAGACTTTGAGCATGAAGCCAAAAAATAAGATTTGTTTATTTGAGAATATTTTGTTAGATAAAAAGTTATTTTTTTATTTTATTTTATTTATTTATTTATTTCAACAAATTAATTAATAAAAAGATTTTAATTTTTTTTCCTTTAAGTAAAAAAATTGCTCCTGTGTTCTTTATATACTACCTTACCAGGCAGAGAGAATGATGGGTTTCATTGCACTGCAGAGGATTTCCTCAATTTTACTGCAAATACCAGTGCAAGGGATTTCTTTGAACCGGCACCTTAGGATAGAATAGGGGGTTCACTTATTAATTGGGAAGTTTGCTTCTCTTGCTTATTGGATTCTTGTGATTTTGGCGATACTTAATGTAATTATAGAATTAAAAAGCTGTATTTGTGCTCGGAATTGTTTTAGAAGTTAGTTAGCCAATCAGGACGGTTGTATTTTCGTTAGTCATGCATGGCATTTGTGGAAATTGGGATGCCTATGCTGAATACTGATTACTTGGGGCATTGCCAAGATCATTTTTATGTAGTGTCCAATCACTTGTTAGACCTATCCCATATGCTTAAATCTTACTATGTCCTCTCATGTTTTTGAATGTTCATAACCTCACCCGCACCCCAGCCACCCTTCTTTCCAATACAATCTGTTTATGAGACAGAAGGTCATTCTTTCAGGAATGCATGGCATATTTTTAATTTGTTCCGGTTACTAATTCATTTTTAGCCTTAGCAATACTGTTCCATTGCTTCACATCTTGGTGAAAGATTAAGGCATATGAAGCCTTCATTACCATGAGTTGGTAACGGACATTAGGAGCCGACCCCAAAATGCGCGTCATGAAAAACTATGTTTTTGGCTAAGTGTGAAAAATGAATTTTTGAAATAATGGTTATTTCAAAATAATTTTTCCCAGTAATTACTCCTTACACTTCAAATAGCCAAAACTTATTTTATGAGATTTTATGATCAAGTCTACATTGGTCTACGTAAGGATTCATTTTTACCAAAACTGTCGGAAATCTAAATTTGTACTCAAACTAAATTTTTACATTTTGATTTTGTTGAATTTCCATTTTCTTATATTTTTTATTGAATCAAAATGGGGGGTACTTCCTTATTTATATTGTAAACTTAAAGTAAATGGACATATAAATACTGTAAAGACATTTATTTAAATGTTTTCAATAGAAATAAAGTTTGTGCAGAAGTTCTGTGTAGAAGCCTTTTTGCTGACCAAACCACGGGTTGTTAACAATAGCTGCTGTAAAATATTTAGTTTCATTTTCCAGTATAACTCAATTAGGCCGAGAGTTATCATTTTTCAAAATCCTGAGGTTGTCAACATAGCTGCTGTAAAATATTTTATTTCTGACCAAAGACTTGCTTTGCAGATTTTCTTTAGGCTATCCCCCATGCGTATTCTGACTTGAATACTTTATGTAGCATGCTTGGACTTTGCATCATTGAAGAAATAATATTTCAATAGCTATATTGTCTTTAAAAGGAACATATGCAATACACATATGTATTTTGCAATGATATTTGGAACAAAATCAGCAGATAAATGTAAAACGAATAAAGATATTTGGAACAAGAATGCATTTCATGAAATGATACATTGTCTTTTATGCTAAAAGAATCATTCTCATTGAGGTGCATATTTGATTCCTCAACTTGACATATACCTTCATAGGTTAATTCAAGTGGGTTCCAAATATCTTTAGCCGTTTTACAAAAGACAATTTTATTGAACTCATTTTTACTTAATGCACAATAAATATAGCATATAGCAATTGCATTGCATTGAATTAATCTATGTTCATTTTCAGTCCATTCTTCTTTTGATTTAGAAATTTCATATCCTTCAATAACTTTGGTTAGGATATAATCTCCGTTTTCTATGACTTCCCATACATCAATATCAATACTTTCTAGGAAAATTCTCATTCTGTTTTTCCAATAAAAGAAATCATTTCCATTAAACAAAGGAGGCCTATAAATGGACTGCCCTTCTAAAGAAGTGAATGTGCTAATGTTAGACATGATCGTACTCTAAGACGGTTAAGTCATTTAGATAGAGTTTTAGTCTCTAATACCACTTGTTACCCAACAAGTGGATAAACAATATGCAATTTCAGTTTTGACAAATATGAGCTAAACAAAATCAGCAGATAAATGTAGTAGCATGCAGTGGCTGATTTTTAGTTTATAGAAATCCAATTTCTAGCAAGTAACTTATAGTAATTGTGCAATAATAGAAATATGAATTCAGCAAATTAATGGCACAATTACAAGAGAGATAAGGGAAGAGAAATTGTAAACGTAGACACGGCGATTTTAGCGAGGTTCAGAAACTCCTACTCCTCGACTCAAGACCCCTCTTGAGACTTCCAATCCACTATAGCTCCTCCTTACTGGTGGAGAGCAAACCTTGACTTGAAGCAACTCCTTGCTTCTTCTTGCTAAGAGACAACCTCTCTTAGTCTTCCTTTAGGCCAAACCAGCCATTACAATTTCTTTGCTAAAAGAACCTCCTTCTCTTAGACTTACTTAGGCCACATCAGCCCTTACAATTTCTTTGCTAAAAGAACCTCCTTCTCTTAGACTTACTTAGGCCACACCTGCCCTTACAATTTCTTTGCTAAAAGAAACTCCTCTTAGGCTTACAGCAGATTTGTAGATAGAATTTGTAGTACAAGAAATCCTCTCAATAACTGATACAAATCAAACCTCACAATAGAGTATATATGAAATCAACTGAAGTTCTAAGTATGAAATGTATGAGAGATGATAAGAAAACAAATAGAATACAAGCTCTGTAAAATATCAGAACAAAAGTTATGTTTAAGATCAACTCAAGCTAGGAACAAAATCTCCTCTGAAGATGGATTATACCAGAACAAAAGCTCTGTAAATTAAGGCTCAAGCACACCCTTTGCAGACAACATATCTCAGCATATATAGACTTTCTTGTTACAAATAGTCGTTGTGAAACCTTCTCCGTGATTGGGACACATCAAGACTTTTTGGACAGAATTTTGGTGCATTAGGCAGATTTCTAAGTTGGAAATATGTGCAATGCCTATGTCCCTTTCAAAGACAATATAGCTGTTGAAATATTATTTCTTCAATGATGCAAAGTCCAAGCATGCTACGTAAAGTATTCAAGTCAGAATACGCATGAGGGACAACCTATAAGAAAATCTGCAAAGCAAGTCTTTGGTCAGAAAATAAAATATTTGCAGCAGCTATTGTTGACAACCTCAGGATTCTGAAAATGATAACTCTCGGCCTAATTAAGTTATACTGGAAAATGAAACTGTTCAGTGCTCTGCTATTGGCTTCCTGCACACACCTTATTTCCATTGAAAACTACTTTAAGTTTACAATGTAAATAAGGAAGTACCTCCCATTTGGATTCAATAAAAAAATATAAGAAAATTGAAATCTAACTAAATCAAAATGTAGAAAATCATTTTTAGTACAAATTGGGGTTCCCGACAGTTTTAGTAAAACTTGATCCTCCGTGTAGGCTCATGTAGAATTGATGAAAAAATCCCATAAAATCAGTTTAGGCTATTTGAAGTTTAAGGAGTAATTACCGGGAAAAATTATTTTGAAATATTCATTATTTCAAAAAATCTATTTTTCACACTTGGCCATTTTTCATACTTATCCAAAAACACAGTTTTTCATGAGGCGTATTCAAGGGTCCTAAAGTCCATTAATGAATGGATAAACAATATGCAATTTCAGTGGATAAACAATATGCAATTTCAGTTTTGACAAATATGAGCTGAACAAAATCAGCAGATAAATGTAGTAGCATGCAGTGGCTGATTTTTAGTTTATAGAAATCCAATTTCTAGCAAGTAACTTATAGTAATTGTGCAATAATAGAGATATGAGTTCAGCAAATTAATGGCACAATTACAAGAGAGATAAGGGAAGAGAAATTGCAAACGTAAACACGGCGATTTTAGTGAGGTTCAGAAACTCCTACTCCTCGACTCAAGACCCCTCTTGAGACTTCCAATCCACTATAGCTCCTCCTTACTGGTGGAGAGCAAACCTTGACTTGAAGCAACTCCTTGCTTCTTCTTGCTAAGAGACAATCTCTCTTAGTCTTCCTTTAGGCCAAACCAGCCATTATAATTTTTTTTGCTAAAAGAACCTCCTCATAGACTTACTTAGGCCACACCTGCCCTTACAATTTCTTTGCTAAAAGAAACTCCTCTTAGGCTTACAGCAGATTTGTAGATAGAATTTGTAGTATAAGAAATCCTCTCAAGAACTGATACAAATCAAACCTCACAATAGAGTATATATGAAATCAACTGAAGCTCAAACTCTAAGTATGAAATGTATGAGAGATGATAAGAAAACAAATAGAACACAAGCTCTGTAAAATATCAAAACAAAAGTTATGTTTAAGATCAACTCAAGCTAGGAACAAAATCTCCTCTGAAGATGGATTATACCAGAACAAAAGCTCTGTAAATTAAAGCTCAAGCACACCCTTTGCAGACAACATATCTCAGCATATATAGACTTTCTTGTTGCAAATAGTCGTTGTGAAACCTTCTCCATGATTGGGACACATCAAGACTTTTTGGACAGAATTTTGGTGCATTAGGCAGATTTCTAAGTTGGAAATATGTGCAATGCCTATGTCCCTTTCAAAGACAATATAGCTGTTGAAATATTATTTCTTCAATGATGCAAAGTCCAAGCATGCTACGTAAAGTATTCAAGTCAGAATACGCATGAGGGACAACCTATAAGAAAATCTGCAAAGCAAGTCTTTGGTCAGAAAATAAAATATTTTGCAGCAGCTATTGTTGACAACCTCAGGATTCTGAAAATGATAACTCTCGGCCTAATTAAGTTATACTGGAAAATGAAACTGTTCAGTGCTCTGCTATTGGCTTCCTGCACACACCTTATTTCCATTGAAAACTACTTTAAGTTTACAATGTAAATGAGGAAGTACCTCCCATTTGGATTCAATAAAAAAATCTAAGAAAATTGAAATCTAACTAAATCAAAATGTAGAAAATCATTTTTAGTACAAATTGGGGTTCCCGACAGTTTTGGTAAAACTTGATCCTCCGTGTAGGCTCATGTAGAATTGATGAAAAAATCCCATAAAATCAATTTAGGCTATTTGAAGTTTAAGGAGTAATTACCGGGAAAAATAATTTTGAAATATTCATTATTTCAAAAAATCCATTTTTCACACTTGGCCATTTTTCATACTTATCCAAAAACACAGTTTTTCATGAGGCGTATTCAAGGGTCCTAAAGTCCATTACCAAGTTATGGTAAAGAAGGCTTTATAGATGAGCAATATAAGTTCTAAGCCTTGTCCTTTACTTTCTAGAGACCAAAGTGAATCATGTGATTGATGTGCATGGTCCTAGCATTTTTAGCACAAGAGATGAGTTCTTTCAAAGCTTATGTAAGCTTGAACTAACTCATTCTTTAGCAAAGACTTCATGTGCAAATATATGAATGAAGTGCATATTCTATTGCTAATAGATATAGGAGCATATGAATGATGAATGATATTTATGGTCCTATAGAGATAAGCTTCAAGTGGATTCATAAATACCTTGACAATGAATCCTAAACACTCACCAACCTATCTACCCCTTTCTTCATGCTTTGTCCATGATCATGTAGGCTTTGAGGTATTCTTGCTTTCTTCCTTTGAGTTGTTTTTTTGCTCATCGTAGTCCAAGCTATCTTTGGATGGACTTTGCATTTGATTCCTTGCAATTTCACGTCTTCTTTGTATCCATTTCTTTCCTTGATGTAATTTTGAATAATGAAATACTTGGAATGATCTTTATAGCTTCATTGAGGTCATTCTTTGAATGTGAATTATCTATAACACTCAATGTAAACATTAGTCCTTAAACACTATTAATGGTTTGTTATCATCAAAACATCTAGATTGTCCTTGGATGAAATCCTCGAGGTCAACATTGAATACTGATTACTTGGGGCATTGCCAAGATCATTTTTATGTAGTGTCCAATCACTTGTTAGACCTATCCCAGATGCTTAAATCTTACTATGTCCTCTCATGTTTTTGAATGTTCATAACCTCACCCGCACCCCAGCCCCCCTTCTTTTCAATATAATCTGTTTATGAGACAGAAGGTCATTCTTTCAGGAATGCATGGCATATTTTTAATTTGTTCCGGTTACTAATTCATTTTTAGCCTTAGCAATACTGTTCCATTGCTTCACATCTTCCCTGTAATAATGGATGTTGTTTCAGAACTTTTGTTGCTCCACTCGAGAGGCTAAAGCTGGAATATATAGTACGTGGTGAACGGAAGAACCTTTTTGAGCTTATGAATGCGATTGCAGCTTCTCAAGGACTGAAAGGCTTTTGGAAAGGAAATTTTGTCAATATTCTTCGCACCGCTCCATTTAAGGCTATCAATTTCTATGCTTATGATACATACAGAAGTCAATTGCTCAGACTATCTGGGAATGAAGAAACAACAAATTTTGAAAGGTTCGTTGCAGGTGCTGCAGCTGGAATTACTGCTACTATACTGTGCATACCTATGGACACGGTATGTGGTGATTTAAAACCCTTTTTCTTGGTTGCATGATTAATTGCAGTGAGCTACTTTTAGGTCAGGCATCTTTAAGTATCCATTTATTTTCTTGTTTTGCATTCTATAATTTCTTATATAGCCATGTGCTATGATAGGGGATATGTGAATTAGGAGTCAAGATGAGGCTAAACTAGCACACTTCCTCTTGTCCTATGTATGTGATGCGCACAGAGGAGGCTGACACACCATTAGATGGGTCTGACTTGGAGAATCTTCACAACTTTAACAAAACTAGTTTACTGGTGAAAATCCATTTTTGTTGCAACTTTGGAGTCTTTTGAGGCTGTAGCTTTTCTTTCATATTGTCTCTTAACACCTTTTCCCCTACCAGGAGTGGTCTTCTGCTCACTTCTCTGGTCTAATTATCAATCTAAAGAATCTGTTATGCACTGAGATTTTACCTGACATGAGAATGTTATATCACAGTTATGAAACTTTTATTATTCTTTAGCCTGGAATTAGAAGCTTGCAGTGACTGTAGAATAATATTGAATCAATCTCTAATGTTTTGTTTCAAAGTTTCCCTTCGTCACCATCAGCTGTTGTTTATGGTGAATGATTTGTGCTTCAATTCGGAATTTGTGCTTGCTTGAGTAATGATTAATTGAGTTGGATTTGAGAAATCATTTCTTCTTCTTCTTCTTCTTCTTCTGATTGCCTGAGACAACAGCCTGTATATTTCAAATTTAGGTGTCATCTTAAGCCCAGTTTAGTTAAGGATTTGTTAACTTCTGTTAGGGTTTAGCCTGGGGCCTCATTTGTATTCAATCAAAAATCAGGTTAACTGGCTGACATGTGCTTGCTGTAGTTTAAAATTAATGTAAAAGACATTGTAAGTGGTTTTGATTCAATGGAGCGTCAAACTTACTTCCAATAATTTTGTTAAAAATATTGTCTTATCTGTTTTCTTTTTATTTATTTATTTATTTTTATTTTGCTATTTTTTATCTCACTTCATACAGTAATTGTGCTGCACATGGTTGTTCTATTGGCAACAATTTAAAACAAGTCACATGTAGAGTAAATTGAACGGGAAATTCTATTTCAAAGAGCTCTTGTTATTTATATTTGCATCCTAATACTACTATATCTGGAATGCTCTTCCATTAACCGATTTTATGTCACATACTAAAATGTTAAAATGTTTCAGATCAGGACCAAGATGGTAGCACCCGGTGGGGAAGCCTTGGGTGGTGTAATTGGTGTTTTTCGTCACATGATCCAAACTGAAGGATTCTTTTCTCTTTACAAGGGCTTAGGACCATCGATTATAAGCATGGCGCCTTCAGGTGCAGTTTTCTATGGTGTTTATGATATATTGAAATCAGCTTATCTGCATTCACCGGAAGGAAGAAAAAGAATTCAACACATGAAACAAGAGGATCAGGAACTAAACGCATTGGAAAAACTGGAGTTGGGCACCATTAGAACATTAGTATATGGGGCAATTGCTGGTGCTTGTTCTGAAGCTGCTACATACCCATTTGAGGTTGTGAGGAGACAGCTTCAAATGCAAGTTCGGGCAACGAGAATGAGTGCACTGGCAACTTGTGCCAAGATAGTTGAGCAAGGTGGTGTGCCTGGTCTTTATGCGGGATTAATTCCCAGCTTATTACAGGTATGGTATTCAACTATTGATCTTTGTTTTAGTTGAATTACTCCACTGTCAAATAGAAGGTTTTAGGTTTATATTTTAGGATGTGATGATATTCTTACTCACTTTTCTACTCTTGCATTCCACTTATTTTTTTATTAATAAACAAAATGACCAAATTATCCCTCAAAAGTTGAGTGTGAGAGCACTTTTTGGTATGTTTGTGGAGTGGGGAGTGTTTTTGAATGAAACCGTGTTATTTCCATTTCTAAAAAAAAAAAAAAAAAGCAAAGTGGAGTGCATGAGTGCCAAGGGAAGTGTGAACATTGTTTCCCTTAGATTTATGGTAAATATGTGCTCTATTAATGAATAGCAAATTTGCGGGTGCAAACAATTCCTTGAGAAGTATCAATTAGGAAAAAAAATAGCAGATGAAGTAATAATTGGAAAAGAATAGATAGGCATTTGAAATTTTTTCTGAGTGCAAATTTATAAGGAACTAACTCTTTAATTCGATTTGTGGTGTAGACAAGTTTAAGAATTCAAGATAAAAACAACCAATGCTAACATCGTTATAAAAACTTTAATGATGTGTTATATCCTTCAATTTATGGGCTTTAATTTTAATGAATTTTTGGACCCATATGCTATGGGTGAAAGAAAATCACATCCTAACCCCGATATCTAACAAATCCAAAGGCATGTGAACAAACCATTGTGTGATATAAGCAACAATATTTATTCTTAGATGCATGGTCAAAGTGACATTGACATGAAAGGGTAAGATAACTCTTCAGGGGATTTTTGAACTAATGAAGAGACTTGCATCCATAAAAGTATGGGAGAAGTGATTTTCTCCTGCAAATCAAACCCCAATTGAATGGGTAGAACTTTTTCATATTTCTTTATCTATGAGGTCCCATTTTTCCATAGCATCTGCAAAATGAAAAAGAGAGACTTAGTGTAGATTTCCTACGCAAGTCTGCATTTTATGAGTGTTTTTGACATGTGCTCTCAAAATGAATGTATAGATCAATCCTTGTCCATGTTTCTTCACATTAAATGCATTTATCAGGGAAGAACTGCCCTCAGAAGCTAAGCTGGTTGATGTTTAAACTTCTGTCCATTATTGCTGACCATAACATGGGACGGTCAGAGTTGAAAACTGGTCGGTTTGCACTTAGCATTCCTCCTACATCTAGACTTGACACGTTTTAGTGGTGAAAATGGAACTAATATTTGGCATAACTCCTAATCATGTACCGAGCATCACTGGTAAAAATTTCATTTTTCCAGCACCCCATAATGCATGCCATCATTTCTATTCTTAAATTTCTGATTTATTTAGGGTGATCAACATATCTGCAGGAAACCTGCCTTCCAATAAAAAAAAACTTTCTCAAGTGGCTTTAACAACTGATAATGTCACAATTTAATATCTGATGAGAGGACAATGCTCTGCAATGGTTTTCAGTAGAATGTCTTCACCAACTCAAATTACAAAAATATTTCCCAACGATTCAGGGTTATTTGCATGAATTCCGTTCCATCGCTTTCCTCTATCTAGAGTTGTAACTCAGTCAGATGCTAGCTTTCCTTACTCGCTCAAACCAATGTTAAATTTGGTTTCCCTTTCTCGCATTGCTTCATTCTGGACCACATTACTCTTCTGTACTAGTGCAGTTATATGTATTCGTTGCACATGGACGTATACGCATTTACTTATTAAAAAAAAAAAACAGTTTCAACATATACATACACATGTACCCATATATGTACATACATGAAATGGGGTAAGAATTTTGGTATATGGTTAATTGCATAAAACCTCCCTGAAATGTAATGACATGGTGCTTTTTCCTGTCATCATTGTTAAATGTTGCTCGACTTGTCCTCTCTTTTTCTGTTCTTCACATTTAGCACGCCGTTGAAATTTGCCCACCATTGAGACATTATTTGGGCACAAAATGCTTCTTGCTGTTTATACAGAGGAGAGAATATGTTGAAAAGTTTCAAATTTACCTCTTATTTTAGGTCAAATGTAGAATAGATTTTGGGCACAAATTACTTCTTGCTGTCTAAGGGAGGTAGCAACGAGAGCATTAATTCTTGAACCATATTAAGTTACAACAATGACCTCGAGATTTATTTTGTGATTGTTTTTATCTTTACATGGATCCATCATATGGCATACCTATAGTCTTACATGTTAGCGACAATTTTGTTTCGAGTTTCTGATTTGTGCCGTTCTTTATGTTTTGCTCCTTCAGGTTTTACCATCGGCTGCTATTAGTTACTTTGTGTATGAGTTCATGAAGATAGTTCTTAAAGTGGAGTCGGCATCAAATTAATCGTTTCCGGTGAAGCACCAGAGGGCACTTGTGTCAGTGGACACCGGAAATGGCACATATGTTTTTTTTTTTTCCTTGAGGGGCTCCCGGTTATGTTTTCCGTTGGCCTTTTGGTGAGTCAGTTTGAACAAGAACATCTCACCCATATATTCAACACAGATCCAAAAGAATTTTCTTCAGCCTTGGCGATTTTCAAGTCTATAGCCTATAGCAGAAGAGGGTGGCTCTAAGTTTTGTTGGACAAGAGAATTTTCCAAACTGGTAGTAGAGTCGCACCAAATAAGTTCATCATATTTTGTGGCACTAGTAGATTCATGTTTTTTTGTTTTTAATTTTTTTATTTTATGAAATAGTTTACAAGCAAGTTATGTTTTTCCTCTTACACTCTGCTGCCCTTGGACTAGTCACAAATTTGCCCTTCTCATCTACAAGGACAAAATACAATTTTTTTTGTTTTTGTTTTTGGTTTTTTTTTTTTTTTTTTTAAATTCAGTTATAAGCTTAAGAGATTAATCTTTTAGGTAAACAAAGAATTGCTAGATTTAGATTTATTTAGATGAGTTTTATATATAATTGGTAAATTATTAGTTGTATTAATCTGTAGAGGTGAGAGTTTATTTTTTATTTTATTTTATTTATGTTTCTTTAAAATTATGGTTAAAAAATTAAAGTAAACAATTGTATTGACATCTTTCATTACAAAATGCGAATTGGCACAATAAAACCTTTTTATTTTTTCGGCTTTGTTTGGATAAATAGAAGATAAAAAGAAAATAAGGGATAACATTAGTTTGTGAGAGAAAAGAAAAGATAATATTAACCTTATGTTTGGATAAATTATGGAGGAAAAGTAAGGAAAAGACAACATTCTTGTTTGTTCGAAAAAGGTGAAGAAGATAAAAGAAAAGAAACTATTTAAACTAATTAATTATCATATTCTAATGTTAAGGTGGGATCCAAATATCATTTCAATTTTTTTCATTAAAATGTTAAGGTTATTTTCAATATTATGAAAATTGGAAGGACAGCAAATAAGAGATTTGGAAGGATAAGCTCTTCCTCTAAATCTTTCTAAATATTTTATTCTCTCTCCTCGGGACAAACAAACCATGAAAATCAGTATCCTCCCTTTCTTTTCTTTTCAATTCATCACTGCAAACAAAGCCTTAAGAGTCTCATTTTTATCCGAAGGAAAGAGGAGAAGCTATTAAAGCTAATCCTTGTGGTGGTACAAGACACTCGATGAAACTCAATGAATACCAATCGAACAAAGTCTAAAGTCAAAGCAAATGCCTTTGTAGCCCAGCTATTGGGTTGTTCCTGAGCCTTCGCACCTCTAACTTCTAATCCAACATTTTTGAAAAAATAATAATAATAATGACACAATCATGGATGTTAAAGCAACTTGGCCAAAAAGATCTGATTGGTTCACCTATTCTGTGCTTACCACTGGAAAATGAAATACAACTCTGCGGAGAGAGAATCAAAACATGGGAGCATTTACCTTGAGCAAAACAAAATCCACGAGCCTTAGAAACAGAACAAACTGACAGTAAACATATCGTGGGAAGTTTAATCCGTTACAAAGCAATATTTAAAACCAAATCCATGGAGCAGTCCACGCTTGGATTACTATTTTTTATTTATATATATATATATAACAAAGAATCAACCCACACGCTAGTCACTTTGAACTCTCCAATTATTTGCAAACTTCAAATACACGCAACCTCGCCCTCAGATGGCATACAAACTCTATTTAGGAGAACCCCATGCTGGGACTTGAGCTTAAACTCCATGGCTGTGCTTCTGTGTCAAGATTGTAGCGGGGTTTCTATTTTGGAACACAAAGCTACAAGATTAATGATTGACAACAACTAAATACTTCTTAATAATTGGCAAAAGGCAAGAAAATAGAGATTTGAACTGATTTGTGTGCAAGAGATTGGAAGAAAAGGTAAAGGAGAAATAACTTGAATCATGTTTGGTATAATAATTAAGAGGGAAAAAAATCATTCAACTCCTTAAAAACAGCAACAATTTAATTATTATCAGTAGAAACACATGGCACTAAAAAATAAAAAGACTTGATCAACTGAAATGTTGCTTTTACAAGGCTTATCATTTCACTTGTAAGATTCTATGGGACACAAATGCCTATGTGCGTATAGTAATACCATGAGGCACGCAGGGCATGATAACTTCCTCTTTCCTCCAAAAGTCCAAAACCACACTACTGCTGCTGCTGCTGCTGCTACTGCCAGAATTTGAGGAGAAAAGTTACCTGAAATTCGTATCAATCGACATCCCTACTTGCAGGTCAAGATGCAGCCTAATCTACGAGATTAGACGATCATAAAACAAATTTTAACCCGGGAGGCGGTGTTAGGGCTGACCAACTAGTCACCACCCACAATTGTGCAGACAAAGTAATACACTAGTAATTGCAACTACGGCATCTAAAGACTCATGGGATGAAATATCGTAGTAGCACCCCCCACAGGCACACATTTCAGTCACCAGAACTGTCCAACGAAAGAACTGCAAACTAGAAGGTCAGATAGTGCTTCATACCCTCGACCTTGACACGTGCCTATGAGGCTCAGACTGCCCAAAATCATCTCGATCATCACTGATTACCGACGTGCAAATCTCTGATATGACCTGATAAGCACAAGTCCTACATCTCAGAAAGCCCATGTGAGCAAACTCATACAAGAGATATAGGAATATAGTTGTAACAGAGCACATATAACAAATTCGCAAAACTAATACATATGATCAGAAAAACTCGTTATTGATAGAAAGTAAACGAACATACTGGAATTGATGAAGCCAAAATATTTTGAAGAAATTAAATTCAATTGCATTTCTATTGCTAGTTAAACATTCTCAACCACTAAAGAGTCTCTATGAAATGATTCTCACAACACCATATACACTACTTTTTTCCCCTTATTGATGATGAAACATAAGGATGTTGAGCTTCCAGCCTTCCATCATCTACTATACAAGGCAATCACCCAAGTATACATTTTTTTTTCTTTTCACATTCCATCTTAACTGATGAGTCAACTTAAGAGCACTCTTCCCACAAGATATAAGGAGGAGAAAAAAGTAAATAATAATTACCATTAAAATCGGAAGGAAAATGAGTTCAAAAAATAGAAAATACTGACTCGTAGTAAAATTGAATCTCCTCTTCTCAGCTCGTGCTCCCTGCAGCAAGTCTCTCGTAGAACAAGATGTATCCATGATCTGTATTACTAGAATACTCCTGTGCTGACCCAAAAAAAGTCTGCACAGCGGACTCATCAATCATCTCCACGTTCTCGTCATCAAAGAATAACCAATGGTTATGGCTTTTCACAAGGCTGACATAGTGTCCATGGTTGGGCCCACTCCCAACATGAACGACTACAGCAAATAAGGAATACTCAGCATCTGCATCCTCCACTGTATTGCTCAACTTCAGCTCAAGCGGGAAAACAACACGGTAAGATAGCTTCTTATATCGGCCCAGCTGCTCAATGTACTTGAACCGTTTTAGATGGATGACCAGAATGTGAGGTGGCTTTTTTATCTTCATTCTCTTCTGGGCCTCCTGCAAACTGCATGAAGAAACAAGATAAAAAAAAAAAGAAATTAGCAGCAATAGAGATGCAAATACATTATCTCTTCCCTTCACTCTTGCTTAATAGAATTCATCTTAGACTGGCATGACATCTATTGCCTTACCAATTATGAAACCACCTAAATCTGACCAAAAAAAAAAGTGAAGGCGTACAACCTAAAAACATAATTTCTAACAGCTTGTTAAGGTGTGAGTCACTGAATGCTAAACAAGTTCATTATTTAACATTCTAGAAGAGACCATACGCATGCAACTTATCCAACAGGGGAAAAAGACGGATGGAAAAAATATACTTCTATGGTGAAATTAGTAACTTTCATGGGATGTCTCGAGACATCCTATTATATTTCAAGTAAATAACTGTATTAGATGGATGCTCGCTTCATAGACCTGTGTCGAAATGACGCAACATGGATTTGGGTAGGGAACATTGCTGACACACAAACTCAAATCGAACACCTCAATGCTTTACAGGGCATGATTAATGGAGAAGAAAAAAAGTAAAATTTGTTAGCAGAGATGAATTTTTCTATTTTACAAATAAAAGAAATAAAAACATAAAAAAATTATAAAATAAATACCCTTTTATTACCATATCTAACTTAATTAAAAAATAATAGAGTAAATTCACCCAGAAAAACATCAGATATTTACACTATAATATAATATATAATGTATTATACTGTACCCGTGTCCAACTTTTGGACATATTTCTGTATCCTGAGGTTTGGAATTCAAGGGCACTTAAGACACACTTGACTCAGATACACTTATCAGAGTCTATGTAACGTGATAAATAAAACCCATTTCAAGAACTATCGTTTCTAAAAATATACAAAATTTGTATAAAAAAAAAACATATCTAAGCATGTTAAACGGTTGAGACACCTATTAATTCCCTTTGTCATTAATGCTTAGATGCACCGTTGGCCTTATGTAATCATTATTGGACCACGCGTAGTACACTCATTGTAAGGCAAAATGTAGCGAAAAGGAAAAAGTAGTAACATGATAAATTCCACTGACCACCTCTAAGGTCTGGGATAGTCACCATCAGTCTACAGTTTTGAAAAAAAAATTACAACCACCTCCCTTAAGGTTTACGTGAAATTATCCTGACGTCCCCTGCCATTATTTGACCGTTAGTTCAGTTAAAGAAACAACTATAACACCAAAATAATTTACCTTATAAACCAAATGCAATGACCATTTAAACTATAAAATTAATTTTGGACTGAAAAAACCATTACCATTCTATCACTTTGATTACAAATAGTTAATGGAGTAGTATTTTTAATTTGTAATAAACCATTTTGACACATTGATTACAAATAAATAATATAATTAGCATTTTTAATTTATAATGCCAAATATATTAACTGAAAATTGCATACATATTTAATTTATCAAACTATATATTTATATAAATAATAAAATTTATTCTATTAAACATGTAATTGAAAATAGAATATATATATATATATATATATAGTTAATTCTATTAATATATAACTGAAATATATTAATATTTTTTTATACATCTACTAAATCTTTTTTTTTTTTTTTTTGATAAGTAAAATTGTATAAAAACACTGAAAAGGGGAGCAAAGCCCAAGAGAACTACACAAGGCCAAAAAGGGCCTCTAAGCCTTCAAAGAGGCCAAAAAATCAATAATCTCCTCTAAAGATCTATAATTTCTCCCTAAAGCCCAACAAAAAAGAGTGGAAATAATAGAGAATTTTAGCATAGAAATAATATATTAAATATTATAATAAAAAATTTTGAAAACATATTAAAAATAATTATATAAACATATATATAGATTATAGCATTTGACACCTAAAAACTTCTCTCTATCGCCACCACCTAGGAAGCACAGACATGCCTAAAAGGGCAAAAAATCCGTGTTGGACACCGACACGCCCCAACACGTGTCGGACACACCAAAATATGTGTCCGAATATTTTATATTTTTTTTAATATCCGGACATGCCGTGGACACGCTTCCGACATGCCATGGATACGAGTCCGACACACGTGTCCCACTCTTTGGGGATTTTTAAGAAAATTTTAGAAACAATGTTGAGTTGAAGTGTAAATATTAGGAGTTGTTTAATTACATAATTACTTTAAAACTTCTTGTTTCATAAAACAATTTTATATTCAAACAATTAGATATTTATTCTTATATTTTAGTTCAAAGGTTTGAACACTTGCACGATCATCTTTGACTCTCTTGTTGTCCCACCAACCAAGCTTCACTACCAGTGAATGGTCTCTCTATCTCTCTCTCCTCTTTCTCCTCTTTTCTCTCTTATTCTTCGTCCTCCTCTTTTCTTTCTTCTTCTTGTTCTTCACAAACCCTAAATACTTCTTTTTTTCCTTTCACAATAAATTTCTTTTTGTCTCTTTTTCCTTTTTCCTCAATTCCCCATGAACTTTTTTCTCTTATGTGGATTCTTACCTTTAATTTTAACTCAGGCCTAATTCTTTTTCTTACAAAACCCTAATCCTCTTTGTCTCTTTGTTTTTTTTCTCTTTCTTAACCCTCTTTCTATCATTCTTTCTTTTTTTCCAGCAAAAATAATATATATATATTTTTTCATTATGAGATTGTAAAAAATAATATTACTCTTAATTTCTTAAAGAACATCATCCTATATATAGAAAATATATTTCTTATTTGCCGTGTCCCCGCCGTGTCCGTGCCCTAATTTTTTAGGATTTATCGTGTCGCCGTATCCGTATCGTGTCGCTTCCGTGTCCCATATCCGTTTCCATGCTTCTTAGGCCACCACCATCTCCTTCCACCACTGACACCGCCATCTTCAGCACCATGATATTTCTCTCCAACACCATATTCTTCAACCATTTCAAAAATCAAATCCCACAATCCTATCCACACTACCCACAAATTTACTCAAAAATTGCTCAGCTAGAATCCTAACATTCCTCTACATTTCTTCTCATTTTTTCAACTTGACTTGCAATTAATTTCAAAGAACAAGATCTCATTCCTCACCTATCCATCATAAGGCAAAAGATTGACCCCTTTCTTCGTTCTATACGTGGAATGCCTTATCAACATCAATTGCATAAATTTCGAAGGTTTTGTTCTATTCTGGATACTGCTTCTAAAACCAACTCCCAATGCTCGATAATTAATTACTAGATCCCACATCAATATACACACAGTTAGACTAAAAACTAACATATACCATTTCATAGAGATATGCAATCTTCTTTATATCCCTCTTCAAGTAATCCAACGTCAGATGTATCCTCCAATTTGGGTCAAGTACCTTTGAGGTTAGTCTTCCAGAGCCACCACAGCCACCAATTTGTATACCTAGATCAAGACGGTGTTAACGACAAGGTCCAAACCATCTTCAGCTACTCTGCTTATGCCGGCAATTGAGTCCCTCTAGAGTGCTCTGGCGACCACCAATTTGCATACCTAGATAAAAGATGTCGATGCCGCCGAGGTAACAAAGAAGAGGTAAGGGCGAAAAGGCAAAGGCAGTAGATGCAACACAGAAGAGATGATGGGGCTCAATTCCAATGGTACGGATGAAGGAGGGAGATGTGGCGGAGGTAACTGCAGCCGTAGTGTTGAGTCTGTTGACGATATGCAGGGCAGAGGAGAGAGAAGGAGATAGTGGAAGTAAAGGGCAATTCGGTGGTGCTGGTGGATGTCATTTTGTTGTTTTGGGGGTGGGGTGGTGGGGGGGAACTTAATAGGGATCTTGCCTTGCTTACATCAGCAGACTGAAGTAAATTTATATAATAAAAGCAAGGGTAATTTAGTAAATGTACAATGGACTTCTAACCTGTAAACAGTTCCTAACTACGACAGGGGTGTCAGTGACTTTTGCGGTGATTTCCCCAAACTTCAGGGGAGGTCAGGGTAGTAGTTGAAGTCATATAAACAAAACAGCTAACTAAATATAATGACTTTATTTGGTAAGTACACTAAAGAACGGTGAACAATGCCACCTACCTGCAGCACTTGTCACAAAAGAATTTGTCCTCCGCATTCAAAGTCTCTGTGGAACTAAAATTTTTCAGACAGCTTGTTATTGAACTGTTCTGCTCAATATCAAGACTCAAATCAAAGAACATTTCATCCCTTGCCGTTACCGTCTCACACCGCAAGCACCTTGTTTCATTAGTGAGTATACCCTGAAGAACAACCATCAACAGTAATGAGATTCATAGTAAAAAGCAAACAACAAAATATATTGTAACGCATTTGGGAAGAACTGACTGTTGTCCTTCAAGGAGGCTTCAACCTAGTAGATTAGTATTGGCATCAGCAAGAAAAAGAAAAAGAAAAAAACATCCCAGCCACACTTTGTGGCACACAGCTAACAAATCACAGAAAGTCATATTTCAGGACTAAGAATTGTCAATTGCCCCGCAACTGAACTTTCTAATTGATGTATTCAGCCACAAGAATGCATTTATGGGCTTAAATTGCATCATCTGCCCCTCATAATAGACCAAACAACAATGAAGAGAAAAACTGAATAAGCCATTTAAGCACCTGAAAATTTTTGTGCACCCAGGTAACCAAAGGTTCTTTTTGAGTTCCATTGGCATGAACAGTCTTCGGCCCATTTGCAATTTTTTCAGGCGGTGACGAAGTTTCTGGATCACTCTTTGCAGCATGGGACTCTTTCTCCAATATGTCAACGAGTTCATTCAGCAGATAGTTCAAAAATTCATGGGCATCCTGCATAAAACAGGAAAATAATTTATTTCTCGTACTGCATGGGTAGACAGTTTGGTAGAAGCGTCGGTATACACGGAGTATGATAAAATTTACAGCATTCAAACATTATATAGAAAGATAACTAGATGAGCAAGAGCATACATGAAGCATGCAAAATATGAACAACACTCCCCTTCGTACTTCTGTAAAGAGCTGATCTTTTTAGTATGGACTCAAGTGGTAATAAGATGTATGAGCTTATGCAGCTGTTCTACATTCTAAAGTGTCACATACGCAGCAGCCCATAGGCCCCATATTACTTCTAATCAACAACTATATCAACCCCCAAAACACTCCTCTCCACTCCACACCCACCAAGATAGAAAACCAATAAGAAAAAAAGGAAGAAGAATCCTTTAATTCCTTTGGAGGGTGAGGGAGGAGAGAAGGAGATAAGGGAAGGAATTGAATTACCACCAACATGACCTTGTATACTCAAAGCGCTTCAAAACCATCAATCAACAAGACAATAAATGGACTCAGAATAAATTGTAGAGCCAAAATATCCAAATATCAATCCCAAATGAACTAATTAACCATTTGCTCAAATATCCAAATATCAATCCCAAAAGAATTAATTTACCATTTGTGAAACAAATTATATGAACAGAAATCGGAACTAGTGCACGAACCTCAGAAAGTCATCTGATTTAGAAATTAAACAGAGATGAAAAACAAGTTTTATAGAAACACCGACTCATTTCTTGAAAGAAAATCCTAAGTCCTAGCCATAGAGATACTCTAACATAGCCCACGAACATATGACCCTTCCGAGCCATGGTGCATGCTTGCTATGCCTTGCTACTGTCATCCTTCTCTAGAGGTTATTTTATTGTTCCTCTCAAAACCTCCAGAACTGTGCACCTACTACTAATGCTTTAACCAATGGTAGATTAACCCTCAATGGCTCATTCTAATAAACTTGAAACAAATATCCAGTGGTTCATGTACCCCAAGCATTCTACTGCAACTATCTCCAGGATATACTCGTGTATATCTCTCGAAACAAGGAACATGTGGATAAATAAAAAGTTCCCTAACCCATAATCGATATAATCTTTTCTTCTTCTTTTTTTTCATTGGCAAGAAACTCACACACCCATTTGCCCCTATGCGGACTTGATCCCTCCCCATCCACTTTGGGAGGTAGAAGAGATACCACTAGGCTACAAGGCCCTTGGTATATAATCAATTTAATCAAACATGGCCATTCTGACATAACCAACCTCACTGGCATTTACATGGCGGCTATTAAGCACTGCATGTATTATGTTTGCACTGAATCTGCCTCATGTCCAATCAAATTCATTAAGAAATTGGTAACTGCTAATCATAATACCTTTCTCAGGACCACAACAATAACCCAATAACAAAAGTTTATGTGCAAGCAAAAATACCACGGGAAAACCCAAAAAAAAAAAAGTGGTCAGACACCTGGTGCCAAATTAATTTGATATTTATTGAATCTAATGATCATTCCTTGTTTCTCATAGTTTAAAAAACACTAGTTTGATTATTCCTAGGACTCACACCTGACATCAATATGCCAAAATAACATGGACAAATAAGCACATACCTGATGCATATAGCTGCGGAAAATCTCATTTTGCTTCTTCAATCTTTGTACAAAGCGTTTTGGAGCAATCACACCTGTTTTCTTCTTCTGTGAACTTATCTACACACAGGAGCAAGTGTTGGTCCCAGGCAACATTATCAATAAATAAATAAGAGAAAGAAAGAAATAAAAGTTAACAACCAGCAATTAAACATGAGTTTGCACATGTTTTTGTATGCATGTACACCTATGGCATGATTCTTCAGTTTACAAAAAAATAATATGGAAAACAAACTATAAATGTTCATAGTGTCACAAAACTCAAACAAACACACATATTCAAAGATCATGTTGGACAATGTGTGACTCTCCCAAGATCAGTCAAAGAATACAATTTAAAATTCCAATACATCTTCAAATGTTTATATTCTCTCCCTTCCTATTATAAAAGATACTAGATAGATTAGATCATAATCCTTCCTTCCATTCATGGGCTTCGTGAGAAATAAGACTTAATGAAAAAGAAGATATAAAGTACCGAAAGATAGGACAACCTCACCAAACAACAGGGACACGAAAAAAAAAAAAAAAAAAGGCCCAATGAGGAAGTAGGGTGTAAAAACAGACTGGGCTGGACAAAGAAAATTTCCATTCCAAGTCCAAATGGTTCCCCTGAAATTCTTCGGGCCAGGCCAAAATGTAAAACCAAATACGTAGAGTTTGGTCCCTAATTGGATTCTTTTAGCTTTTGGAAAAATAAATGAATTGCTATAAAATAAATGGATAAAAACTAACATGTCATGGATAGAAAATCCAAAATGCGACACGATATCAATTAAGATGGCCCTTTGGTTAATATTTTTTCATCAGAACTCATATAATTATATTTACATAAGAAGCATAAAAAGTCCCACTATGAAATAAAATAGATTGTTTCAATGCTAACTCACTTGATTTGAACGAACACTCTTTTATGATTGTAAGTAGATGATACAACATTATCTTGGAGATCAATTTTAACAAAAATTATGATCTACTATAGGACAATTATCACAAAAAATCAATATTTTTAATGCTAAAATGACATAATTTTCACTAGAAGGCAAATGAACTATCCAGTCTCAAGTGTATGTAAGCCATAATACTCTTGGTTTTCTTTCTGCTGTGTTCACTTCTCTCCTATTTCTGGAGTAATCCCCATTACCTTTTCCTTAAATTGACTCTATACAACATCCTCTCTTAAAGAATAATCCTTCCTTCCACTAGCGAAAGAAAAAAGATAAAAACGGACTGAAGATAACAGAGATCATCATCTGAAGAGTTCTGACTATCCAAGCAAAGGCATCCAATTGACTGACAAACTAACAAAGTTGAACTATCATACAGTAATTTTTGTTAGTTTTATTGAAATGATGAGATGAGATGGTTAAAAAAACAAAAGAAAAACATAACAGTAGTAACTATATTGTGCAACAATACTGTTTTTTTATTCACAGCTGCACAAGTTCAAATTTTTACTTGGGAAAAGGTGAAGTCTACGACTGTCCTACAAGGTTTTTACCTTTTAAGTGAAGGTCTATCACAAAACCGAGATTCCTATCCAAATATATTCAAAATGGAACACGAGACTGATTAGTCCATAACGATTTATATATTTGTATATATGTTTTCAAGGTAAATATATATTTATGCAATATATAAATCACATTTTTTACAAATAAATTCCCCCTTTTCTTATTCGGGCCTTCATCGGGCTGGCTTGAAGCTTGGCTACAGGGCCGGCCCTAGGGCAAGGCGACCAAGGCAGTTGCTAGGGCCTCTAATTTGGAAGGGCCTCAAATTTAAGATCATAATGTATGTATATGTGACCATAATTTCCATAATTAAAATATAATACAAACTTATATAGCATGTAAATTTATGGCAACAAATAACTTTCAAAAAAAAAAAAAATTTATGGCAATAAACACATGTACTCATAATATTTATATATATAATACAACAATTTGTATGGTAACAGTAATTTGATCATGTCTCCTTCCATTAAAAAAAGAAAAAAGAAAAAGAATTTTCTATATTTAAACTCAGAAACTTGTTTATTTTATTATTATATTATTTTTGAGCTCATGTGCATTCATGGCAGACTCCGTTAAGCTCAGTCCAAACAACCAAAATTTTAATTCATGGGTGCAATCAACTCTCACATTCTCTAAATAACCTTAAATATTTCCTAAAACATGACATGGTTTTATTTTCAGAGTAATAAGTTTTAAAAGAAGTTTTATCTAGAGCAAAAAAGGCAATTAAGGTATTGGATGTTATGAAAATGCTAGGTTATTGTTTTCCAAATGCTTGGATTGCATATAAACTATTATTGACTATTCCAGTTACAGTTGCATTTGCTGAGAGAAGCTTTTCAAAGTTAAAGTTGATCAAATCTTGTCTATGGTTGACGATATGTTAGAGAAACTTAATTGGAGCACTTTAATTGACAATTTTGCAGCTCAAAATGCAAGACGATCACATTTATTTTTACATGAAATTGAATTTTGATTTTTGTGACTAAGTTGTGTTGAATATTTCTTTTAATTTTTTGATGTAAACTAGATCGTGCTCTTTATAAAGCACCAAGATCGGATTTTGTTTTGTATGTTTTCAACATTAATATATTTTGTGTTTATCGTCTTATTTTAATGAAAATTTTGCACTCTTAAAATTTTTTTGCAGCGTGCAAAATCTTATATATAAAGGGCCTTGCATTTGAAAGTTCGCCTAGGGCCTCTCAAAATTTTTAGAGTCACAGGGCCGGCCCTGCTTGGCTAGGAGGCCCAAAGTCATCTTTGTTGGGCTTGGCCGGACCTCAAAGGGGAGGACCAGGCCTGGCCGGGGCCTGAGGGGGATTGGTGTTGGGGCCAAATTTGGCCCTCCAAATTCCAAGGCAGGAACTCGGCCCAAGGAAAAAAATCAAACCACACTGGGCCAGGCCACACTGCCCATGAACTGAATATATACTCAAGAAAAATGAACCAAACAGAAGGAAGAAACTAGCATTGGCAAAAGATGCTTGAAATCCTGAAAAAAATTTGCCACCCTCAAATTTGAATTGATCAACACGTGAATTTCAATAAAGCTAGACACAATTGAAGAAAAGATTACTAATTCTATGGAACATACAAGTTGTGTAACATGCACTCTCCATCTCCCTACACATACCCATGTCAACACATGGTTATACATATGGTTATGTGTCTGACGCTAAACATAAATTGGAAACCTGATCGTGTAATGATTGAAGAAGTTAAAAGTCAAATTTGATAGCAGAGGACAGTTTCCTATTTATGAGAGAAATAATAACTTTTTTTACCACATGCCATTTAATTTACTCATAATTGAATATATTCTTAAAGAATAAGAACAACAAGCATTACAATATTTATATAATATAAAATACATTTAAATGTGCAGTACGTTTCTACGTCAACATATCCAACTTTAGGACACATTCTTCCATATCCAAAGATTGGTGCGTATCCAACTTTTGGACACTTTTTCCCGATGCAAGATTGGAGAAGGTCTGACACAGACACACACCCACACAAATCCTCCTACCTGGGTCCATAAAACATAGTATATGAAGTACCTCCATGGACCTTAAAAACTATCTTAGCCCATCTTTCAACCAATGACAAATATTCTTCCTCAACCACAATGGTTAAGGAAAGGAAACTTGATTTCAATAAGCTGACAAACATGGGCAAAATGTGAGCTTCATAACCACGTCTTTATCATGCAATGAACAAAAATAATGCAAAAGAATGACCCCTTTACTCCCTGAAAGTACTGCCAAGTCCAAACTTTCCATTATTCCAAATCAATTGATAGAGAGAAACCGATATGAAGCAATCTTGGTACAGTAAGTGGAAAACAACCCAACATACCCAGTCTAAAATGAATGTAATTAGAATATTGGACACGGGAGTCATAAACAAGTCATTGAAATGAAGATTGCCACGAAAACCACAGCTAAATGGCACCCATAAATAACATCAAGAATTCTAGTACTATTTTCAAGTCAAAATGCAACAAACAACAAGTTTGGCAAAATTCCAATATTTCTTACCCAATTAACCCTAAACTCCACACACAGCTCTAGATCACCCCAGATTCCTTTACTATTCATATTATAAGAAACTTAGTGCATAAACATCCCTATTGCTTTTGTCAGATTAACAAGAGAATAAGGCGGTGTTTGGTAACCTAGTTCAACATTAATTTTGTATAGATAAGTACATATCCAATTAACTGTGTTTGATACGGTAATTTGAATCTCACTTAAAAATTAGGCTCAACAAAAAATGGGGACGCTGAAGACTTCAAATCCAAAAAATAATAAATAAATAAATTATCAAAAAAAAAAAATCTTAATTTGCAATTAACACTTAAAACTTCAGCACTTAAAATTTTAAATACTTAATTTTCAGTTTTATCAAACAACACCTAAACCTGCAACCCACTACACTTGCATGGAAGTGGTGCCAATTCCTTCCTAAGGCTAGTTTTATGCACAGGAAAACAAACCAAAGCATTTTTAACAGTAACATTTCCAAAGATATAATATAAGCGCTGCTCTTTCTAATCTAACATCCTTCAAACTCTTCTCCAGACTAGAAATCTAAATCCACATAATAAGCAACAGCTTAATAGATAAATGCTGGGGGAAAATTTCTAGGAGGGACCATTCATCTTCCTAGTCTTTGATACAAGAAAAGGGGTTTGGAAAAATACTTTTTCTTGAGTCAATATTATAATAATTCTTAATTCTGTTCACCAAATCCTATTCTTGTTTTGATATATCATAAATTTAACATCTGACAAATCTCGAGAGTACGTGTTATGATAAAGAACATTGTCCCAGCTTTACCAAGGGAAAAAAGAACATGTTCCAGCTCGCACGTGCCAAAAGAGGAGAGGAAGGGAACGAGAGGGAGGGATTCAATCTCAGTTCACATTATCATAAACATAATAATAGAAATTGAAATTGAGTGGCTAACATATCTCATCTGATTACACCCCAAAAAATCTCTATTATAGTTCATCTTATAGGCTACTTTTGAATGTATTTATACAAACAAAAATCAAACAGATGATATGGTAACAATCAATAAATTACCAGAGAACAACTACAGAGGAATGTTCTGATACTGGCGTGCTCCCAGAACCATCCAACTCAACTTTAATAACAAAATGCCAACCCATAAGCATGACAACAATGACTCTAAATTTTAAATACCACAAATAGGGTGGTGAAACTTCCATCCAAAGCATAGATAGAGTCATACCTTGCATTTTGATTGCATGATTTAGCTAAATGTAGAAACTACTGAACAGCGATATAGCTAAGAAGAGGGGAAGACAGGCGGAAGATAAGGAGGAGTGGTGCTCCGCCTACTCAAAACTAAGAGGCAATGCTACCTACTACTAAAATCCCGGTTTTTGGAACAGTTGCATTTGAAAGATGCTTACTAAGATAGTTCACAATAAATCTCAAGGCAGACAAAATTTAAAGATAACAAAGGAAAAGATTGATGATGTTCCTAACTTGCATCTTCTAGTAATATAAGGGCATGAGCTAATCATGAGCAATTTAAAAGTTGCAATGGTGCATACAAAATAGACAAGGGAAGCAAGATAGAATCATGGTTGAGAGAATGATTCCCTAGAGCAGGAGTAGAAGCGAAAGCACCCAATTTTCAAATAGTGTACGTATGAAAACAAACTTGAGAGCATCTCAATAAATATGCCATTATAATGATGTATGGCAGGCACAAAGGATTGTAATAAATGGTAATTTTAATTACTATGTTCAATAATCAGCATAGCATGATGCTTTTCTAGGTGTAGGTTCAGATCACTATCTATGCACAAATATAAAATATCCCCAAATTGAAAGCATTTGATACTATTACATGGCTAAGGGGTGAATTCCATACCCTAAGTCTCTCTCTCTCTCTTATCTTATCTTATCCATTACTATTCCTTTTACTTGCATTATCTAGTTTAATTAAGGATTAATTAGAATCTCAAACAAACAAACATTCCATTGCTTCAATTGATCATTAGTTTGTTATTGAATCAAGCCTTTAAGTCCTTGTGTTCGACCCCCTACTCCCTATACTATATAGTGGCAGTGGTTTTACAAATGTAAAATTGATATTTTCTAAGCTTCCACATTCCACAATTCTATAAGCATCGTTAGAGGTGGTATCAATCACACCACCTTACCACCTCCATCCCATATGATGTCTCTTTTGGAGATTCCAACTTTTCAAGAGAACATACATCTATACATGTCTTTCTTAGGAATTCCAAAACAAACCTTCTACAAATTAAAGGTCCATCTTTGTTGATCTAAAAGAGTTTTCAAAACCTGAGGATCATCTAGGAAAATTCCGATCTCCTTACTTTGACTTTTCAAAAGAGACACTTATTTTGGGACATCCCAAAAAGGAAAGAGGGACATTACTTTGGGAAGAAGAAAGTACAATTTTATGCATTAAAATCTGCAAACAACTTAGCACCTGCAAACAACAGCTTTGCTAGATTTACCCACCAGAGTGCAACCAAACTGTGCATCCAAAAACTGAATTGGCAGAGTTGAACCTAACCACAGACCTTCACCTGATGCATCAATTTAGGTATCCTGTAAACAATGGCTAGTATATGCTGTTGTGAGACATACAAGGCCGTAGGAAAACAAGCCTCTGCTAAGTACACTTGCACTAGACAATTCTTAATATTCTATCTGGGGTTCTTGGCTTTCTTTCTTATTGAAGATAATCCAATGATTCTAATGAAAGAGAGTCTGGATGTTCAAATAGGGAAGATCAAACCAAAACAGGAACCGATCATTAAATTTGTAAAGACTAGGAAAATTACAATATCAACTAACCATTAGCAAAAGCCAAGTTAAACCCTCTATTACAAAGAATAATTTAGCGACACAGTAGTATAGCAATAACAGATATCATCCCTTTTCATGTAATTCTTTTACAACTAAGGGAATCAGGGAATAATAACAACCTGAGAAAGAAATCCACTGATAAAATTTCCAAAACAAAAACAAAAGTAATTATAAATTGGAAAGTTCAACTTAATCATATAAAACTCAAAAGAGTATTACCATAGTCCAACTACAAAACCTAAAGTAGTTGCCAAACAATTTTCCGTAGAGTTATACCTGCATAAATAAGTCTGCCAGGCATGTCAGGAGATTTTCTTCCGTATCCGCAAGATTTTTGTTATTTCCATAATATTCTAGTAACTGTTCACGAAATGGAACACAGAAATAAAGAGCCTGCATATAATCATGGACAAAATGAGAAAGAAATTCTAAAAGGAATGTGGCTTCAGATGCAACCCAAAACAAACACTTTTAAACTGTTGATACAAAATGTTTTAGAAACTAGTTCGTGCTCCTGGTGCCTCTTCTAGATGATCACAAATACATTACATATAGGATCCGATCCTCTTCTCCAGACCCTTTGGTTGCTGAGCAAATGGAAACTAGTAAGGAATAAAATATTTTTTATTAAAAAAAAAGATGATCTTCCAATTTTTAAAGTTTGTTTCTAATCAATTAAACACTAAATTCAACAAAGCCAGATAGTTATGGTAGATTGTTTGAATAAATTCTTATCCTTTTAGGTCCTAATGAAAATTTTTAACTCTGTTAAAATATTTGTATATTTCCTTTCCCTACATGTTCTTAGCCACCAGTAGGGTGAAAAACGAAAACACAAGCCATGAAGCCAATATGAAAACACAAGCCATGAAGCCAATATCCTTTTCCCTCACCATTTAATGCCAACACACATAACAGCATTTCCAGTTCAATTACGCTTAGGAGAGCTGCAAATTCATTGATAAACCTCTAATCAAAGTAATCAAATCAAAGATATGGTTCTTCCAACACTAAAAAAAGACCAAAATTAGAGTCTGAAAGTCCCAAATGCTGGTTCACAAGCTAGAATTATCATGCCAACTAAATTATTTATATATACATGTAGAACACATATTCTCACAAGCCCTTCAATGTTTGGTTTGTAGAGTCTGGTCTCCCATCACCTCCAATTCCTAAAGCATAACACATTTAATAAGGAAGTGTTACAATGTCCCATGAAAACAGAATTTCCTCATGTTTTGCATATTTAATTTCGAGAATTCATAATGAATGTGACTATGGCAGCAAATGACATCCGTAACCATAATTAATAGCCAAAATTTTGAAAATGGTAACATTTGAACAAATCATAAATTTTATTCCAAACAGCCAAATCCAATTTTTCCTAAATGGCACAATAACATATGTAGGAATCTTAACTTGAAAGGCCATGTAGAGAAATAAATTAGAAACCAATTTTTTTTTTCTTCAATAAACTAGTGCACCATAAACAACATCAACATATATATATACAATAACTAGAACACATATATTAAGCAAGTGCCTCATTTGCACATCATCCTACGCATTGTCTAAACTTGTCAAATTCACACAAAAGGTAACCAAAACACAATTGCATCGAATTTCATCAATCATCAATACCTCCAACAATCAATATCGAAGCCAACATATTATATCCCACTATCAAACGAATTCAATGATTGCAAGACAGCCTATTACAAAACTCCAAATTGCATCCAGCATTGTAAGAGTAAATTAAAGACACACAAAACAAAGAACAATGTATCGAATGGAAATGATTTGAAATTCGAGCATGAATTGATGATGCGAACCTGCAATACGCTGTTACAGTAGCAAGTATTGCCGAAATTCTCGAGTCCGAAGTATCGTTCGCCTTCGGGGAACTGATCGCCGAGAGCTTTCTCGAGTTTGGAGCCCGCAGCACCCATTTAGCACATCCGAACAACGCTCTCTCTCTCTAGAATTCTCTCTTCTCAATATAGAAGGTTGCAAATGGATATATGTATGGTGATAGATATATAGATAGATAGATACATCTATTTGCGAATTGTTAGGGTTTCTCTGGAGTGCCTGAAGATGATTGGCGAATCAAAATGAAAGTGCGAACTCAAAATGGGCTGCTTTTTTGTTGATAGGAAGATGAAAATGAGAAAATAAAGAAGAGAGGTATAATTTTTACTTTTTTTTTTTATTTTTTATTTTTTTGTTGTGCTTTTAGTGTTCCACATAATGAGTGCAGCGAACAAAGGAGACATGTAATGGTCTAATGGGTGTCGCGGTCACGGGTGAATGCCGGGTTGGGCCTTGACCCAAGTCCATGATGCGGTCTAGCAGGGCCATCTAGGCTTAAAAGCATAAAGGGCATGTTTATTGACGTTTTAATTTTTTTATTTTAGCTTTCTCTAAAAGTAAAATTATAATTCTCATTTCTAAAACTGAAATACATAGTAGAATCGTGTTTAATAATCTTTTATGCTTTCCATATTTTGAAAACATGAAATTAGAAAGTAAGTTTAATAATAATTATTTTAATTTTGGTTTCTAAATTCTAAGCACAGGTTCGTATCCACCAACCTCACATCCTCAGATAAACCTGCTACATCATCTTACCAAATTCTTAAAAACTTCAACCCAAATTGATAGACTCACACAAGAATTGGAGTGGGCATATTGCAAATGTTTGATTTATGAAATCAACTGTAATCAACCAGCAACAAAACCTTCGTCCCTTCTCTTTTGGAAAAAATGGCCAAGAATATAGATCAGAAAAGCAACACAACACAGCTCTGGCCCCCTCTCCTCCTTACATGGGCAAGGCCGCCGCCTTCGCATCCTCAAGCTTGGCCCTCGTCGCAATCGCCGCCGAAGTCACCGTAACAGACATCCCTCATGTGCTCCTGAACCTCCGTTTAGTGGTTGTGGTGGGTTTTGATGTGTATGAGAGAGGAGAGAGATGATTGATTTGGGTATATTATTTGATGGGGCTTGATGTGTATGAGAGAGGAGTCTTCATCCAGATAGAGAGAGATACTGATAGAAAGTGTGGTGGGTGGTGTCTTCCATCGTCGCCGGTGGGTGGGATGAGATGATGATGACAAAGAGGGAGATGACGATGGGTGATGATGGTCGGGTGAGAATGGTGGGGTGAGATGACAGAGAGGGAGAGGATTATGGGTGAGTAAAATGCTACAGTATCTGAAAGTATTTCCTGTGTACAGTGTAGAAAATAGAGAAAGTAACAAATCCTCACTTTCTCTTTCCTTCATTAAATGTGAAAGTATTTTTTAAAATATGAAAAGTAAAATTATATTAATAAATATAATTTAAATTATATTAATAAATATAATTTTTACTTTTTACTTCACATTTTAGGATTTGACAGTAAAAAATAGGAATCATTAATGTTAGTAAACAAGCCCTTTGTATCATTTATACAACTTCTAGAATACCGGGTGTAGGTGCAAAATTTCGCTCAACCAATAATGATTGAGAAAAATAAAACAACTCACTCAAAAAACAATAAAAATAAATAAGAACAGTGTATAGAGAAACGTAAATTGCTTGATCCCTTTATTGGAGGTCTAAGCCTCTATTTATATACAAAAGATTGTAAAATTATGGTAGGACTCGCGTTGCTTGTCCTCCAATTCTTTCTATATAAACATTCTTTACTAATAGAGTTCTTTCCATTGTCTAATTTTCCATACATAGAACTTGCATTGTACAAAACTTCCTATCTCAGAATTTTCCTTCTACGGTAAATCCTTCAACTGGTAGGACTTGTGCATTCTTGAGTAACTGGGCTGAACATACTTTGATCCGGCTGGGCTTGAGTAACGGACCGGATGTTAAATATTAACATGTTGGGCTGATAATCTCTTAATTCGGGCTTCAACAAGGCTGAAGGTCATATAACAATAGTATTGGGCTTGTGAACAATGATCTTGGACTAGTATCAAACTCAATTTGGGTTTGAGCGAGGTGGGCTTTATAAACTTATCAAAGATATGTTTATATCTATGATGACGTGGATTATTCTCATTAGAGGGGATTTTTTCCCTCCACACTTAGCCCCCAATTCCTTTTTTAATTGGAGTACTACTCCTAATAAGAAGGGAATTGAAGCTGTACGATTACCAATTTCGTAAGAAGTGGATTAGAGGCGTGATTACTGATATTCTGACCAAAGGGTTTCCATAAGAGTTACTTCCGCTCTTACTGCGTTCATTTCATTCCTTACGTTCTTCACTTTGTCACATCACTAGGTTAGAGCATTTGTCATGGCAGAAACTAGAGCACCTTGGAAGCCATTTATATCTAGAGCTGATAAATCAATTCTTCACTCTGGTGATTCTATGATTACCGACCCCTCTGTAGCACTAGCAGTTGCTCGGGGAATGTAATATGGAGTTGGAATAACTGCCTCCATCTGCCCCTGTTCGAGCCATTGAGGTTCGTCATTCTCCCTTCCTTTTTGTCTTCTCTCCATCAAGAAGTTGGAGAAAGATCTTGGCAATTCTTAAAAGAAGGTCTCGTATGCAGCTATGAATGCAAAGATTGCATCTTGGTGCACTTGTCCAAGACTAAGGCCTTTCGGTTTGGCTTTGTACAAGGTTCGAGAGACAAGTTGAACGATCCGGAGGCCTTTAATGCTGACATGGAAGTGTCCTTCCCTTATCCTGAGGGTCCACAAGCCCAAGAAGCTGAAGTGCTTTTTGCTGAAATGGTGAAGTCTCATCAGGATGATCATCTAGCTCCAACTTCATCAGTTCTTGCAGCTCCCAACCCTTCGATTCCTCCAACTTCAAGTCCAACTGTGGTGGACACTTTTGACTCTGCTCTGTTATGGGAATTTGTGACTGCCCTTACATTGCATATGCTTTGTTGCACAGTAATGTCCTCCTGTTTCTCAAGAAAATACACTTGTTTAAGGACCTTATATTTTTTGTGGTCCGAAGTGTACAGTTCCTCGGCGCTGAGCCTGAGAGGAAATGTACTGAACTGGACACTTAGAGTCCTAAGCAAAGTATTCCTCGGCGCTGAGCCTTAGAGGAAATCTGCTGAATCGGACACTTAGGATCAGAAGCGAATCGGTCCTCGGCGTTGAGCCTTAGAGGAAACGTGCTGAACTGGACACTTAGGGTCTGAAGCGAAGTATTCTTCGGTGCTGAGCCTTAAAGGAAATGTGTTGAACCGGACACTTAGGGTCCAAAGCGAATTATTCCTCGGCGCTGAGCCTTAGAGGAACTGTAATGTAACGGACTCTGAAGAGCCGAGGCATGTAGTTCCTCGGCGATAAGTTTGAGGGAAACTGTATTGTACCAGACTCTGGAGGTCCGAGGTATCTAATTCCTCGGCAATGAGCCTGAGAGGAACTGTAATGTACCGGACTCTCGAAGTCTGAGGTATGCAGTTCCTCGGCTATGAGCCTGAGAGGAACTGTAATGTACCAGACTCTTGAAGTCTGAGGTATGTAGTTCCTCGGCTATGAGCCTGAGAGGAACTGTAATGTACCGGACTCTTGAGGTCCGAGGTAGTAAGTTCCTCGGCCATGAGCCTGAGAGGAACTTTAAGGTATCGGACTCTTGAGGTCCGAGGTAGTAAGTTCCTTGGCTATGAGCTTGAGAGGAACTGTAATGTACCGGACTCTCGAAGTCTGAGGTATGCAGTTCCTCGGCTATGAGCCTGAGAGGAACTGTAATGTACCAGACTCTTGAAGTCTGAGGTATGTAGTTCCTCGGCTATGAGCCTGAGAGGAACTGTAATGTACCGGACTCTTGAGGTCCGAGGTAGTAAGTTCCTCGGCCATGAGCCTGAGAGGAACTTTAAGGTATCGGACTCTTGAGGTCCGAGGTAGTAAGTTCCTTGGCTATGAGCTTGAGAGGAACTGTAATGTATCGGACTCTCGAAGTCTGAGGTATGCAGTTCCTCGGCTATGAGCCTGAGAGGAACTGTAATGTACCCGACTCTTGAAGTCTGAGGTATGTAGTTCCTCGGCTATGAGCCTGAGAGGAACTGTAATGTACCGGATTCTTGAGGTCCGAGGTAGTAAGTTCCTCAGCGATGAGCCTGAGAGGAACTGCAAGGTATCGGACTCTTGAGGTCCGAGGTAGTAAGTTCCTCGGCTATGAGCTTGAGAGGAACTGTAATGTACCAGACTCATGAGGTCCGAGGTAGTAAGTTCCTCGGCCATGAGCCTGAAAGGAACTGTAATGTATCGGACTCTTGAGGTCCGAGGTATGTAGTTCCTTAGCGATGAGCCTGAAAGGAATTGTAATGTATCGGACTCTTGAGGTCCGAGGTAGTAAGTTCCTCGGCTATGAGCCTGAGGAACTGTATTTAGGCCAGATAGTCTGGGCTTAAAAAAGAGAGAATATGTTTTCTTTTCTTAATATCTCTTTAGGGCTGCTTATACTGCCCCCGTTATGGAAGGTATTGCCCCCATGAAGGAAAGAAAAATATGTCTCGTTTGATGGCGGCGATGCAGATAATTTTCATGTAATTATACGCATCGGCACTCTTTGTGCTTTGGAGGAGTTTACATGAAAATTTAACCTTCGACGTATTTGAGTTCGAGGTGATTTTCATGTAATTTTATTCATCGGCACTGTTTTGTACCTTAGAGAATTTTGTATTTGAGTTAATTTTCATGAAATTTTATTCCTGTTGCAGCTCATTATGCGTTAAAGGAATTTTGAAGTCTTCGGACTCTTGAGGTCCGAAGATGAATTTTCTTCCTTGGCAGCTCGTTATGCCTTAGAGTTAATTTGAAGTCCTCGGACTCTTAAGGTCGGAAGATGAATATTCTTCCTCAGCTCGTCGTGCCTCAGAGGAATTTTGAAATCTGCGGACTCTTGAGGTCCGAAGATGAATTTTATTCCTTGGCAGCTCTGTGTGGCTTAGAGGAAGTTTGAAATATGCGGACTTGTGAGGTCCGAAGATGAATTTTATTCCTCGGCAGCTCTGTATGCCTTAGAGGAAGTTTGAAATATGCAGACTCGTGATGTCCGAAGATGAATTTTATTCCTCGGCAGCTCTATGTGCCTTAGAGGAAGTTTGAAATATGCAGACTCGTGATGTCCGAAGATGAATTTTATTCCTCGGCAGCTCTGTGTGCCTTAGAGGAACTTTGAAGTCCTCGGACTCTTGAGGTCCGAAGATGAATTTTCTTCTTCGGCAGCTCGTTGTGCCTTAGAAGAATTTTGAAATTTACGGACTCTTGAGGTCC